CATGTCTACGGAAGAAAATTTTTATAGGCCAAATAGGGGGGTCTCAGTGGGCCTCTAAAGGTATATTGCGAAGATGAGAGGAGAGAGCTTTTGAAGCGGAACTCTGGTAGGCTCTATGTATTACCGCAGACTGGATGGTAGACCACCAGACAAGCAAGTTCGCTGCTGGAGGGAGGGATCCTGGGTTCGAATCCCAGGGACAGATACTTTTTCAAAAAAATTTATTTTTTTTCCGTTTATTTTAAATTATATTATTTTTTAATGTGTTTTTCGATATTCCGGAATATTCTGCATGAAGGAAATACTTTTTTTATTGGGAAAAAACTGGAAAAATTCAGGACAATCAGATTATTTGCTCTTTTTCGACTTCTTTTGTAACATTTTGGATATTCTGAAATGCATGGGGTGTTTTCTGTGTGTGAAATCCAGCAAAGAAAGCTGGAATAAAAAAAAAGAATAAAAAAATAAAATGGCGCGAGTAGGGTTTAAATATCGAGACCCCCTAGCTCCCTTTTATATCAAGGTTCAATTTTTAAACTCGGACCCTAAGTAGGGGTCTGTGGTCCAAACATGACTGAAGAGGAAGATTTTTATAGGCCAATTAGTGGGTCTGAGTGGGCCCCTAAAGGTATTTTGCGAAGGTGAGAGGAGAGAGATTTGGAAGCGAAACTGTGGTAGGCTTCACGTATCACCGTGGACTGGATGGTAGGCCACCAGACATGCAAGTTCGCTGGTGGAGGTAGGGTTCCTGGGTTCAAATCCCAGGGAGAGACTCTTTTTCAAAAAAAAAATTTTGTTGTTTATTTTAAATTATATTATTTTTTAATGTGTTTTTCGATATTCCGGAATATTCTGCATGAAGGAAATAATATTTTTTATTTGGAAAGTGGGAAGAAACTGGAAAAATCCAGGAAAATCAGTTTATTTGCTCTTTTTCGATTTCTTTTGTAACATTTTGGATATTCCAGCATGCATGGGGTGTTTCTGTGTGTGAAATCCAGCTGAGAAAGCGTAATGGAATAATAAAAAAAGGACACTAAAAAACAGGTAACAAATAACGGAGTAAAAACAGGTAAGAAATAAATTTCATTTTTTTGCTTTTTTCCGGGAATAATAAAATCCCATATCTACCAATTGTTTTTAACGGATGCACTTTTTCTATTCAATTGCTTCTTCGCCGTGATAAATTTCTTCACTGTGAATTGTTATTGTTGAGAACAGATTAACTCCTCCCGAATATTAATTAATATTGAAATAGTTCTTCCACCAGTACTTTTTCTTTCCCGCCCCGGAACAACCGGCGTAATAGTGTGAAACATGATATATATATATATATATCCCACATTTACATTTTTTAAAAATCCCTAATATATTCGATACTTTATCGTCACAAATAAAGCATTTGTGTTAGCTTATTGTGATGTGAACAAAGTAAATAAGCATATAAAGCATTTGTGTTTGAAAGCTTATTTATCTTAAACAAAATAAATAAACATGACTAACGGATGATAACAACAGGAAACACATTTTAAATGGAAATGTAATGTTTCAATTACACGCAAATGTAATCTTTTATAGCATTTTAAGTTGAAAGACGTTCTTTTATTAAAACTAAAATACAATGAATAAAGTGAATTAGCTTTCCATTTCTCGATCAAATCAGTATAGAAATAAAAAGCTTTCAGTTAAACTTTTGACTCCAAAATTCTATAGAACCGCCATTATTTCAAAGGAAATTTGACTTACTTATGCAAATTTTTCAAATGGCTGCATTTAATAGTATTTTAACTTATTGACAATAACAAAATAAGGCTTTTACATTACATTAAAAAAATAATAATATTCAGCTATATTCACGCAATTAAGATGCATGGAATTAACATCGTGATGTTTATCTATTATAATGGTATTATGCAATTAATGGTATTTTGCAGCATTGGTATAGTAGTATGCAAAAAATGTACATCTATGAATTGAATATCGTAACGGTGGTAAGTTTTCACATAACATTACATAGGTCTCGCACAATATAACTTTAATGTTTTATATTAAAATAAAATTCTTGTTAATACTTTTTGGTCTATATTATATAAATATTTGTTGTATATTTTCGTTTCGTGTATGTTATGGAAACCATATTAAGTAAAAAGTTTTCAGTTTCATATAGATATATCAGGAACACAAATTAGTTCGGTCGATTTTTTTTGTGGTCAAAAATGCATTTATTTCAGAACAGAATGAATAAACAGATTAATCAAAGAATTGTCCATCGCTGGCTACTACTCCCCCCCCCCTCTCAGGCAATTTTCGAATTCCACCTCGAAAATTCGTCTTGTCTTTTGAGGCGATTTAAGTTAGGAGCCAATTTTCGATTTCTGCGAAAGAAGTGAACCGATGACCTGCCAAATCGTGCTGCACCCGACGGAACAACCAGTAATCAGAAGGAGCAATGTCCGACGAATAAGGCGGGTGCGCTGAAATATCCCACTTGAACTTTTCCAAAAAATTTTTTACGACTTTTGAGAACATCAGGCCTAGCGTTTTCATTCAGAAGAATAACTTTTTCATGTCTTTGCTCGTATTCCGGGCGCTTTTCTCGTAATGCACGGCACAAACGATATATATATATATATATATATATATATAATTTGATAACTAGTCCGGTGAATGATCAAAGCAAACCTCGGAATATGGCAAAGTTGCGCAGTGCTGCCATCTTTTGAGGAGTGAAAAAATTACGTGTTTGTTGTCAACGTGACCTGACGCTGAAAAGAATGTCCTCTTTAATAGGGAGTAAACATTACGGCGAACAGTATGTAGAGAGTTACATTACGGACGCCGGATTTTTTTTTCTCAAATAAAGAATCTGACTGTATAAATTAACGACTAAGTCTCTCAATAATTAGGAAATTTCTNATACAAATGCAATCCCGGATCTTAAGTCACCCTTTTTAAGAAAATCCTACTTTACGTTTTTCTGACAGATCAAAAAAATTTTTTCTCAACAAACCAACATTTTCTCAGTTTTCATTTTTTTGAAAATAGGAGCGATAGATTTATTTAAAAGCTTTCGGTAGCTGTTCAGACGTTCGTCTTTTTCTATTTTATTGTATTTGTAAGAGAGGATTGAAAATATGATAATTATAATAATTGCAAGTCTGACGCTGCTGCTATAGACGCCTCTCTGAGCTGTAACATGCATCTCATTACTTTTGAATTATTTCTATGTCTGATTTAATGTCCGATGATAGCGAAGATGAGCAAAGTATATCGGAGGATACACCCACAACTGATCTAGAGTTAGGCAGCATAAAAACTCATTTCTTATATTAACCAATGATTTCCAAACTCGGTCCTATTTGTTATGTCAATATACTTAAACATGAGGACAAGTTGCAAAATTATAGAAATATTAGTTGGGCCAAAATGTGGCCTAACTGTAATGTCAATATTCCCTTTATAATAAAAGACTATTCCTCATGTTCTAGATATACATAATGGCCTACATCTTTCTACATTAAACTATAATTCTGATACGTGGTTAGACATATCGTTCAAACTTACTAAACTACATCACCAAGCTGCAAAAATGGGGTTTAATAGGGTGCGCCCCAGGAAAATCCGCAATGACTAAAAAGTTTGAGACTCCAATCTGCAAGTCCTAAGAGCGAGAGTTCGATCCGTCGTATAGTATGTAATCTTGAAATCTATTTATTAGGAAGTTATTATTTTTTATTGCAGAATCAATTTTTTTTAACTGTATGGTAATTTAAATAAAATATTTTAAATTATCGCTTTAAATATTACACTTCATAAAGAAAGTGCCTGTTTAACTAAAAAAATTCTGAAAATTTTTTATGTTCTCAGCATATATAGTTCGTTCACCAGGAGTTGGCACTTGGCTCCACCTCCTCGGACGAAGAGTTCATTTAAGTGCGGCAGTAAGAGGAGAAATGTCTCCGCTCCTGAAATTGAAACAACCCTTACTGCGAGCCAAATGCAAACATTGAATTTTTTTGAGTCACTCACTTCGCTTTATCATCTGCTATTATACCTTTCGTTATTCCAGCTAATTAAATATATTGCAGCAAAATGCCTCAAAAAGTACAAACTATTCACGCAAAAGAGAGAAATATCAACAAATTTATGAAACATTTAATGTTAAAAAAATGCACATAAAGATTATGAAAGAAATGTTTTTGTCATACGATAGTCAAATAGTAACCTTGTTCAGAACTTTTCACATCTATCTCCCAAAAATAGTGGAATAGTATCTTCAGATACCCGTTCCCGTGGTATGGTATAAAGCAACTAACAGCTAATTCCAAGAGCGTTAGTCTTTAGGGCAGTCTGTCATATTGTAATATAAATAAAAATTAAAAAAAAGAATTAGCCAATTCTTTCAGCAAAATTAGTTGGGGTACAAAGGGTTAATTATTATCAATTTCTTTTTTGTGTGTTACTTGTATATACAAAAAGGCCTATATTTTACCATTAAATTAACCTTTAACTTTCAACCTATAAAAATTCTCTTAATTTTAAACATCAGTGTAATACACATTATGTAGATCATACAGCTAAAAGTTTCCATTTGAAAAAATGGTTTTAAATTTCGTCATTAGATGGCGCAGTACATCAAAAATCATAATATATATAAGTTATTACCATGGTGGGTACCCTTCCAGCTTACTGTTGATCAACAATGCATATGCTTAGAGCACACAGGTGTTAAATTAGTAATAGTATTCAGTTATTCCTAGTTTTTTTTTTTATTGATATCATTCTTTTTTCTTTGTCAGAGTGCCCCAAGTTGGCAGAATTTTAAATTTTAACTGATTTAAACAATTCATGATGTGATCAACATAACATGTATTTGAAATTTCATACAAATCAGTTCAGAAAAACTGAAGCTACAAGCATTTAAGAACCATCAGTTTAATTTTAAATACTTTGTCGTGTTGAGAGAGTGAATTACGACAAACAATAAATAAGAATCTCCATTTAGTAACAAAAATGTCATTTCAATTTTTATTCATTATCAGGCATGATTAGGCCTACATACAATTTGCATAGTAAATTCATATGGACAATGATTTTTTTTATTATCATTTCTACAGGCAATAATTTAATGACATAAATAAATAACATCTAAAAAAAAAGAACAACAAAATTTATACAGGCAGTGAATTTTCATCAACAATAGGGTTAAATGAAAATAAAATAAAAAAAGATCAAATATATATATATATATAAGTATGTATACATATATAGAAATGTATATTTATATAACATAATCAATACACGAGAAAGGAATGTTAGAGTCCAGTGTAGTGCTGATCTTGTTCTAAAGATAAAGTTGGCTCGCGGTTTCTCGCGTCATGCCTTTTTCTTTCCACGTTTACTGAATCACTGAAAAAAATTTAAACAAGTTAATGCTTCAAAAAGAGCTGGACAAATACATTGTGGAATATTGATATTTTTAACAATTGCAATAACAATATTTCAAGAAATATTCTGACAATATATCATGAATCTGATCACGATATCTTATGGAAAAAGCCGAATGCATGGTGATAATGTAATCATTATCAACTATAAATATGGAATATAATAATACCACAATCATTAGCAAACCATTATTATAGAATATTATAATATTACGAAAACAACATAATATATTGAATACAATAATATCGAGAATACTATGAATAACGATAATTATAAAATATATTAGCGTCAAAATTGATAAATTTCAATTGGGTAACAAAATATAGATCAATGTAAAAATGATAAAGAGTTAACAGTTAATTTGGATATTAATAAACATAGATTCAAATTTATTTATTTACAATAGATAGTGTTTTCTATAGTAGAGGATGTGTTAATTTCTTATCTTTTATATTTTTATATTGTTTTATTTTTACCATACCTTTCTTCAAGCGTTGATGATTCATTTCACTATATTATTGTTAATCTATATAAATCAAGCAGAATGTTTATATGTATGCATGTTTATATGTAAACAAATCTACAATTCAGAACCTATCTGATATATAAACCACACGTTCCTTACAACAAAAAAATTTTATCGAGTGTTTCTGTAAACTTAATTAGTTTAATTCTCAATATTGGCCCTAGAATGACTTTCAATATTGGAACAAGATTCATTTCTAGCTAGGACCAATATTGAAAAATCTAGACACCCTAATTTTTACACAGGATAGAAATATCAAATCAGGGTTGCCACTCAAAACTGGAAAAAGAAATTTCCTGTACATATTGCACACAATACATTAAGAGGAAACACAATAACTCTGACCTTGTGTGATCTATATTTGGCTAACTATACCAGTTTTAATTGCTGGAAAAACTTAAAGAGAGAAAAAGAAATAGCCGAGCGTACTCAAATAAAGCTACAGTAAATTAAATAGTTAAGCATAGTTGAAATATCATCCTTAAATATCTCAGAGAATTTTTGAACACAATTATTTTTTTTGAAAAATTTTTTTAAAAAAAGGAAAATTTTGAATTGCAACATGACTTTTTAATGTGTTAAGTTTGCACTGATTCTATTGTAAGTCTTTGTTGTTCTTCGATCACTTTTTTCAACGGTTATTTTTATGAAATTCTGTATGGTTTTAAAAAACCCAATGTTTTTAACACGATATTACGATGTGCGAGTTTCGAATTTGAGTCATAAGTTTTTGGTTCGCATTATTTTTGCCAATTTTATTATAAATCCATGTGATGTTTCCAGTGTGTTTTTTTCTTGGCATTTATAACTACCAATTTTCAAGTGGTTTTAGAAGTCTCGTTACAATATTACAAATCGTGGAGTTATAAATAGCATATTTAATTTATCACTTTTTGACGTGCTTCATTTTTGCCAATTTCGTCATAAATCTGAATGAATTCTAATAATTAAAAATAGTTAGCGTTTACAACACCAATTTTAAGATAAAAACTATCATATTTGCCGCAAACATTTTAAAATACACATGCGGTCCCTCGTTAGTCAACATGCTGTGCAATTGGCCCTTCACTCAAAAAGGTTGTGCACCCCTAACATAAAGTATCTGCTTTGAGCGGTCACCATTTTTTTTTTAAAAACAAGAATAAACAAAGTTCCCTGTATTTCTCCAGCTTGTAAAGAAAAATAAAAATTCCCTGCATTTTCCCTGTTATTTTAGGTGAGTTTTAAAATACCTGTATTTTCCAGGTTTTTCCCTGTGTAGTGTAAATAGAATTAAAATGTTACCTGAAGAATGGCAGAATAGAAATGAAAGTTTCCTTGTCTGGGTTGCTGAGAAGGTCTGAGTTGGACTGCAACAACCAATTTAGGACACAGCGAAGATAGTGCTGCAGGCGCTTTCTTCTCAATTCCACAATTTTTGCATCCTGTTAAGCACACATTAATTATTACACAAGGCTCTATAAGAAAATAATTTGATAAGTAGAAATACACTAGAAGATCTTTATAAAGTAATTCTATAGCAATTGGAGACTGATCGTTCTATGGTTTAGTTCAAAATTAATATCTGTGGAAGAATGGGTTTATGAATGGGTCCCCCTATAAACGGGTGTGACACATAGGTGGGGCAGAAGTCCAATCCTCAGTCATAAATGGGCCATTGGAAAACAAGAACAATCGCACCCCCTCTGACTTAACAACAACACAATCCTATAAATTGCAATTCAACATTAACATAACAGGTGCTGAACTTTAGGTATTGAAATTGCTTTAAAGAAATTTCTGCAATGAAGCAAGAATTATTAACTTTTTACATTATTTGTTTAATTTTTTTTTTAAATATTAAGATTTTAAAAGTTAAGCATACCAAAATTGATAAATTAGAAAATTTCAATCTTATTTTTTGTAAATAATACATATTTAAATGCATATTTTTGAGTTAAGCATTTACCTTTAAGAATTATTTTAAAGAATTTTATGATTGATCTATTCCTGACTAATATTACTGCCATGTTTAGTAGGTCAGTTTAAAGACACATGAAAAGTTTTTTATGATTTAAAAATCATATGAAACGTAAAGTTTTCAAGTTTTACATCATAAAGATCTTCTACTATATTTATTTGCATGCATGCAAAGATAAAAAGTGATTGCTCTATAGATAAGAGTCATTGTTTTATATCAGTTGCAAATCAATATTGGTATATAGAACATAAAATGTTAGTGTGAGGTAATAGTGGATTCTACATTTCAACAGTTTTAAAATGCATAGCACCAAATGGAAGATTTTCAAAAAATATTTTCTTTTCAGTAATTCTGCTAATGGGTCATTAGAACTCAAGACTTCCAAATTTCCATGTCAAAAATTTGTTCTATCATACTTGCTATTTCAATAACAGAAAAATTAAACATTTTATATTAATTTCTTGACAACCCCCTCCCTTTTAAGAAATATTTTCTGGAGATAAGAAAAAAAGAATTAATGCATTTACATAATAGAAAATAACAGATAAGATAATCATATATAACAGATAAAAACTATGAACCCTGCTTATCATGAAAATGGTTATATATATACATACATACATACATATAGCTTTTTCTTCTTAGAAATTTCTTCCCCTTTTTTGTCCTTGTTTATTATACTAGTCTATTACCTTTTCTTTAATTCGAAATATTCCTTTCCATTCTGTTTTCAAGTACTTTTAAATAAATTCTTAAACATAGATATTTTGAGTTTTTTTTTTTTAAATCAATAAACTTTAAAGTATAAAAAAGATTTTTTAATCACCTTTTTTCCTATAGTTTTTTTGGGTGGAAAGTCGAAAGTATTTACAATAGGGTCTTTCTTCTTCAACAGTTTGTGAAAAGCATAAAACTGGGCATATCTTCGATAAACATTCCATTCATCATCCCTTATGCGAACATAAACCTAAATAAAAAAATTTAAAATTGATAATAGTATCTTTTTTTAAAATGCACTTTATTATTTCAGATAATGTATAATAGTTATATCTGATATAATAAGATTGCTATACGGATAGAGCTAGGAGGTTGAATGATATAGTTGACATTTTTGTGATTAAGTGAATTAACTTCAAAGTTTGTGCAATGAAAATATGGAAAAAAGATGTCATGTCTTTTTTTTAAGTCTGCAAGCTACAAATTAGAAAAACCTATAAATTATTAAGGATCAAGGGGGATTAAGCATTGTTTATATATAAATTTGAGGCTTTCTGAACAGATATTGTATCAACAAATATATTGGGTCAACAAAATATTGGGTCAACAAAAAAAAAAGATGGAAACTTTTTGACATATTTATTTAAATAATTTACTTTATAGAACAGTGAAATAATGAGCCGCAATTGACTGGTTTCTCTGCCCAGACACATTGTTCAATAAGTAAAATCTATCTGAGAAAGAATCCATACCTGATAAACATGATGAATATCGGCAGTCTTTCCAGTAAGAAATGCTGATGGTATCCACACGTTTATCAAAGGCCTAGAAGCTGCACTTTGAGAAGACCTAAACATAATTAGAAGTTGTTTCAACAGTTAGTAGGCTTCTAATAAATAGCAAAAGTATTTCTGCATTTTTTTCTATAATAGCTTTTAAAAATTGACATATATGTCATAGTGGGATTTTTAGCATAATTGTCTTAACATTAAATGGATGCAAATTTCTTTTAAATAGTCACAATGAGTTAAACCAATGGACTGTCCAATCTTTTTGTAACAGATTTCATTTTACTTTTTAACCACTGTTGAACAGCCGACCCAAGATATTTCATGTCTGTACTGTGGTAGGTGCAGGCCAGATGCGGAATATGTATCCAGCCATTGCTGGGATTTGAACTTAGTTCACCTCATTGGAATGAAAACACTCTATCCCCTGAGCCATTGCGGCTTTTTGCAACATATTAGGTTTTTGTGACTTTGTGAAAATCTGAGCATCATTTTCTGAATCTAACATTGCCCTTATCTAACATTAACATTCTGAATCTAACAGTAAAACAAATTCCTATTTATTGTGAAAAATAAAAAAAATTTCAAAGGTTTTTTGTCTTAAAAGCATAAATAAATTAACCTAGCACTAGTAAAGTTAGTATGAGTATTAAAGTTAGTAAAACAGTAAAAAAAAAATCTTTAAAATATTTTTAAACAAATATACAAAATGGGAATTATAATTTTTATTAGATACCATTGCATATGAACAAGTAAAATTTTAAAATTGTATAACACATGCAAAATATCCAAATAAGCAAGTCAAAAATATGTCAATATATTCACTTACGCATCATAGTCAGATGTGATGCTTAGATCATCATCTGATGTTTGATTATCATCAAGAAGCTAAGTTTAAAGAAAAGAATATCAGTTACAGTAAAGAAATATAATTTCAATACAAAACAAAAATAAAGGCAATAAAACTAAGAGAAAAAGAAACTCTTTAAATTTCAATAAAGTAAGATACTCAATTTTTAAATGTTTAACTTCTCTGACCAACTGCAAATATATCAGTTTTTTTCTACAATAATTTTAAATAAACTAGTTTGTTTCATTGAAAAGTATGTAGGATACAAAGAGTTACCTAATTCTCAAACTAAATTAAATGGAAGCCAATGTATTAAAAATTTATAAGAAGTCATTCAAATAAATATTATGTAATCATATATTTGACAATTTTGGACTCCCTCTGGGCCTTGTCAGCAAAAGTAAGCAAATTACAAAACCCTTTCATGCAACAACCTCCATCCTTCTTTTCAGCTATATCCATGACTTTTACTGTAGTAATCTAATTTTAGGATTGAATTCAAATTAAAGTTGTAGCTTTGTCCCAAACAAAATTAACTTTTTCATTCATTTTATAATATTTTGAGTAGAATACTTTTTAGGAATCCTTCTGTAAGTCAACACTCAACTTTGTCTAAAGAACTCTCCTAGCCATTCGTCTGAACCTGCGGCGGTGACTATGGGTAACGAGGTATAACTACTTCAAGCAGGGGCGTGCGGTCATTATTTAGGACAGGTTTTGGCTAGAGTCTGCGAGAGAAAGGTAATTTTTTTTCTTCGGTCTATTGTGAGTGAAGAGAAGCTACCTTCCCTACGATGCACCATTCTTGTTTCCATAGCAGCAGACGGCCTCAGACTTTGTGGTGAGGGAAGTTCTCGCCGTAGACAAACTATAGACCTAAAACTCTTTGAGGGAGTTTTTTCCAGCACTTATATTTCCCCGAATTTCCTTCATATTTAAAATGTTTCCAGACATAATATTTATTTCCCGTTTTGTTCTTATTTATTTATTTTTTGCATTTTAATTTTTTTTTTGAAATAAGAGTATTTTAATAACTTATTTAAGCATTACTCATATATCTCTTTCCCCCATTAGGCGCTTACGTATTACTTGAACATCTCTTTATTACAAAATTTTTAATTTCATTGATAATAAAATGTATAACAACAGTTTTATAATTCATAGAAATATTTAACTACTACTCTGTAATTTTAAACTACTCACTGGTCCCCTTAATTCTACTAAATCTTCCTTCAGTCTCCTAATAAAGTTTTCTCGTTGTAGTAGTGCTCGATGAAGACGTTCGTTGAACTCAATTAACTCACCATGCATTTCAGCAACCTATTCATCAATAAAAGAACTTAATTAATGTAAGACAACAACAGAAAAAAATATTTGACAAAAATTTATGATAGACTCAACAAAACACAATATCTTAACTACTGCATTTCAGAAATTAATTTTACGCTACAATCTAGGACAAAATTTTACTTTGCCTGACACTTCATGAATATTTTCATATAATTAGACTTAAAACTTTGAAAGACCACTAGAGTCGCAATCAAGGTAAGGAGTTTATCAACGGTTGTCCTGGAGAGCCGCGGTGGCTCAGGGGATAGAGCGTTCGCCTTTCAATGATTTGATCCGGGTTCGAATCCCGGCGATGGCTGTTCGATATGAATTCCGCATCCGCCTTTCACCAATCACACTGCTGATATGAAATATCCTCAGTGGTAGATGCATCATAGGTTAGTGTCTCCTTGCCATCAGGCTAACCATAGAAGGTTCTCGTGGTCTTCCTCTACATGTAACGCAAATAAGGGTTTGTTTCATCAAAAAGTCTACCACGAAGGCAAAATTTTCCCTAATACATGATACAGGAGTTCCCTCGCTTTCTGGATTGGGTTCAAAATAACAAGGTTACATAGTTGAACATTAGTAGTCATAAGCCCAAATTGGGTTGGCTGTTCAACGACAGTTATAAAAATAATAGTTAGACAATATAACAGTTGTTCTGAGACCCAAGATTGCAGAGAACCTCGGTCAAAATTCCTTAAAAAACATGTATTTTTTAGTTAATAAAGAAATAAACAAAGAAATTTTTTTAACATACATTTGTTATAGTCCATTATTTTTCATTGCAATAATGCTTTCAACTCAAATGATATAACAACTCAATAAGCATTGTGTTTTCACTAACAATAAAATAAGCACTAATGAAACTACTGGAGTTAATAATTTAGTAAGATTTATGAAAATGGACATTTCAAGAATCAAATAGCAAATTATGATTTAAAAAGAGTTTTTTTTTTAAACTGCATATAAAATGTGAAAATTACACTTTCGTTCTAAGATCTATAAAACCTATATACCACTTTGATGATAGCATATTTAAATAATAGAATGTACTTTCTCAAATATAAGGAAAAAACTACTACAGAGACTATTATTTTTTAATCTATATATAACCCAATAATATATAGATTTTGAAAAGCTTTGAAGCAATAACTTGTGATAATACAGTATACTTTCAATATCTCAAAGTTGAAGGGACGTTAAAAAATTTCGAGATAGCGATTTTCAAGATAACAAGTTCAGAACAAAGTATGTTCTGAAAAGTAAAAAAATATATTTTAAAATATTACTCTAAAAAGTTGAGTCATGAAACATAAGAATAACTACTACAGTAGAAGTCCATTAGTCCAGAATGCCCGATAGTCTGGCATCGCTCCGGAAAATTGTAAAAATTTTGGTTTTCTCCAAAAGTGTGTCTTTAAAGCAAATAAAAACGCTCGAGAGCTATTCGGAAGTTTTCGGGGTAGTTCGGGATCATCCGGAAGCGCGCGGTAGTAAAGCCATCCTTCTTTTGAACAATTGCAAAGCCCACCCGCCAGTAGATGAGTCAGTTTCTGGAAATATTGTTGCTACTCTGCTCCCACTTAACGTAACATCTTTGATTCAACCCATGGGTTATTCAAAATTTTAAATGATTTTAGAGAAGGTCTTTTATTCAAGGCCTGTTAAATGCCGACTGTGACGTGACTGATTTTCAAAAAAAGTTTATAGTAAAAGATGCCGTCTCTGCTATTGCACTATCTTGGAACCAGGTAAAAAATACAACACTCCAAAAATGCCAAAAGTCAAGAAAACAAAAAGACATTCATGACTTTTTTAAATCTAAGTGAAATATGTTTTACAGTACGTGTACATACATTATATGAGATGTAAAATAAACTTTGTTGTATGTATTTGCTAGTTCAATTATTAACCTAATTGTTCGTATAATTACCGCCCGATAGACCGGAAATTTCGGTAGTCCGGCACCGAGCCGGTCACGAACGTGCCGGATTATCGGACTTCTACTGTATTAAAGATCTATGTAATGATAGTTGACTATAAGTCTAAATATAACAATGATAATTTTATTTTCAAAAGTAGGACAAGAACAGTAATGCATTTTATAGAATAGATTTGGTTCATAATAAACTCACATTGGGATTTTTCCAAAAAAAATTCATTTTCTATTTCAAAAAAAATTTCGACATAGAAATTTTTTGAAAAGGAACCCTTCAATATAAGAATTCCAATTAACATTATGTGGATATATAATGCCATGGAGAAAAATATTTTTTTGACATAACAAGGTTATCAACGTATGGAAGTTCGAGATAACGAGAGTATACTGTTTTATATTGAAGCAAGTGTAGTTGCAATTAAATATAACAAAACCAAGATGCATGTAAATTGAAAGTAACATAAGAATATTGATAAAAATAAATAAGTTAACAAGGAACCTGTAAATAAAATACATACCTGAAAAAAACACACCTAAAAAATACATACCTGAACAAGTTTTTTTTCATATTCAGATGCTTCATATTGGTGATCAATGAAGTGTTTGGGTTCTGGAATGGGAGGATGAATTTCACCAATCATGCTCGTCACTAAAATAAAACAATTGCATGGAAATAAATAAAAATCTTAATATTTTAAATATTTATTATGTACTTATTTACTTATATTATTCAAAGTACTTATTTATATTGTTCAAAGTATTATAGTTGATTAAATTGTAAACATTTTCCTCTATTTTCAAATATTGTAATTGCAAATTTTGAACGCACATAACCAAGTTTTTAAAAAAATTGAGCATTTCAAATAATTTTTGCTAAAGTAAGATTTGGAGATATTTACACTTGTTCCCATTTTTAATAATTTTCATATGTTAGAAATATTTTAAAACTTAAAAGCTAGGTTTCATAACACACACACATATATATATATATATTATAGCTAAGTAACACAATATGTAACACCTGTAACATCAAGTTTAAAATTTTTAAAAAAAAATTTAAATATCTAAAAAAATTAAAAAATTGCAGTAAATGATACCTAACTTATTTTCACAAAAATTAAAAAAACGGCAGATGTTATAGAAGTAACACAATATGTAACATCCGTAACAGCAAGTTTTAAATTTTTAAAAATTGGAGTTAATGACACCAAACTTATTTTCACAAAAATTAAAAGAACAGTAGAAGTTATAGAAGTAACACAATATGTAACATCTGTAACAGCAAGTTTTAAACTTTTAAAAAAAAATTCAATATCTAAAAAAATTTTAAAAATTGGAGAAATGACACCAAAGTTATTTTCAAAAAAATTAAAAGAACAGTAGATATTATAGAAATAACACCAATATGTAACATCAGTAACAGCAAGTTTAAATTTTTTTTTTAAAAATTAAATATCTAAAAAATTTTAAAAATTGGAGCAAATGACACCTAACTTATTTTCACAAAAATTAAAATAACTGTAGATGCTATAGAAATAATACAATATGTAACATCCGTTACAGGAAGTTTTACATTTTTAAAAAAAAATTAAATGTCTAAAAAAATTTTGAAAATTGGAGTAAAAGACACCAAACTATTCACAAAAATTATAAGGACTGTTCGAATATTTTTTAACTCAGTTATGTGCTCTTAAATCTGGTAATCACAAATTGAGGGATTGTCCTTTACAAAGATGAAAGATCAATAGATAATTTTTCAAAGACACTTACATTCTTGTACCCGACCTTCACTATCATGTTTCAACATTTGCACAGCTGTAATATATTTTTTAAGTTGATGTTTCAGTAGCTCATTCTCTCTAAAAATCATAATTATACAATTATAATAAGTATTGTAATTGTAAAAAATAAGCTATAAAGTTATAAATTCAAAACTAATTTTGATAAACTAACTAAGAAGTATTATTACTTAAATTATAATTAAATAAAAGGAATTCATAATGGAAGATAAAGTTTTTCTAAAAACAAAATAAAAAAATCACAACAAAACAAAAGTCCCACAAACAGTATGAATATTTAACTCTCTAAATAATTAGATGATTTATAAAAATTTGGTAAATGTCTATCACACTTTGAAAAATTAAGCATAGAAAAACATCATACTATTGAGCTAATATTAAAACAATAGTAATAATTTTATTTTTAAAACAATCATAATTGATGTCCCATAATTTACTTTAATAAGAGTTTGAAGAACAATAAATTTTCCACGACAAATATATAATATCTCCCCCAATTTTAAGAAACCAATTTGTCAAATGTTGTTCGAGTATGATAAAATTAAATACCTGATTGCAAAATATATGAAATAATATCAGAACTAAAACTTAGTTTAACTAGTTTTTATTAAATTGAAATTTACGAAGGGCAAAATATCTTAGTATTAGAATTCAGGAAATAATATTTTTATAATAAATCAATGATACTGTTATATCTAATATCGGATTTGAGTAAAGGATTGCAGGGAAAAAAAAGTTATCGAAATTTAAAAGAGTGTTAAATTATTTCAAAGAAATTTTCTCCGAACACAAGTATTAGATAGATGACAAACAAGTTATTATTAAACTGTTTAACACACAAATGGGTTTTAACTACATTAGATTAAAGTCTTATACAACCATTAGAATTTAAGCTAATATAACCCAAAACATATGCATGCATCATTGAAATTAAGAATTTTTTTTTATCAATATCAATTAAATTTTTAAATATTTCATTGAAATTAAAACAATTTTTTCTTCTCAAGGTCAGGTAAAGACTTTGCTAGATTTAATCCCTATGTAATTTACTTTTGGGTAAGGTTTTAATGGTGAAATTTGTAAATTTAAGTACATTTGGTTCACACAGAACAGATTTTTCTGATTGTGATTAACAAGATAAATTCACAATACAGAATATAACTTATGCAATAGTATGTTTCAAAGTGCAATTCAACCTGGATAAAGTTTGAAATTTGCTTTCTGAGCGCTCAACTTTTTCTTCACAGTTTCGCTTTGTGTCTTCTAATTCTGCTCTGAGTCCATCAGTTATTTCCATTTCTCGCTCCAACAATGAGGTTAAAGTTCTACAGAATGTAACAAAAATTTATTTATAATGTTGAAAATCATCCACAGAATATACCATTTTTGTTTCAAGAATGTTTGAAAAAAAATGAGCATTTCTCTAATGTAAAGTTTCAAGAAACTAACAATTTATAACCTGGCATATAAAAACTAACAATTTATAAACTAATAAATTGTTAGTTTCTATAAACAGATTAAAAAGTAAGATAATTTTTTTTCATACAAATTACAGTGGTATTGAAAATTTCAAGATACAATAATGTTGGTGATAAGCATAAATTGCAATAATAGTGATAAACACAAGATTTTTTATCACGGAAGATTTATTATCTTAGCAATTTAAGTAACATTAGTTAACAGAAAGCAAAAATGGACAAAAGAGTATGGAGATCCTAAAAATACTATAAAAAGTCATAGGGTTTTAAATTATTATAAAAAGAAGTAACTGCATTAAGTTACCTCTTGAGTTGGAAAATAAATACACAAGACTGGTAAAATAACAAATACAGCCTAAACTCAACATCACAAATATTCATAACATCACAAAAAATTTCAATTCCTCAATTGAATTTGCTGTTCTGATAATTGGAAATAAAATCCTCTTCTACAGGGTGCGTAGCCAGATTTTTCATCAAAAAATAAGCACCTTTTAAGCACTCAAAAAATATTTTTAATCAATTCCAAAAAAAAAAAAATCATAACTAGGATCTGTGCAGTAACAAAAATTAGTTTTTTTCTATCCTTTTAAAGTTCTTAATTTATAAACATAAAATCAATAAAATTCAAAAAACATTTTCAAAAACTTTACATTATCATGATAATGTAAAGTTTAGATCTAGTCTCTGATCTCTAGTTTAGATCTAGTCAGATAAATATTGCAGAGAAAATTATAAAAATCATGATTTTTTTGTAATTTAGAATGAAAATCGATACGGCAAAGAAGAAATTTCTTAAAAGATAAAAAAATTAAGCACTTTTTATAAACACCAAATAAAAAAAGCACCTTTAAGGGCTTTTTAAAAAATGTAAATAAAAAAAAGCCCCTTTAAGCACTTTTTAAAAGTGCTACAGACGCTATTTCACCAAATTACACTTTTCAGAAGCCCTTGAATTCAGAAAGTATTTTTGATTAACAAATATTTTTTTTATTACCGAATTTCTTTTCTGAAAACTAGGTCTCTTATGTAGAAAATAAAGATAAAACAATCTAATTAGCATCAAGTTATATACTGTTGATACCAAATTGAATACCAAAAAACAAAAATAATAAGAATGAAAATGTTTTCTTGTTAATAAAATTTTTTGCTGCACAATGCAATTATTTATCTATTAAAATTATGTTAAAAACAAAATCAGGTTTTCACAGTGCAACATGAATACATCATTGAAAAAGTTGTCTTGTACATGATTAGTTTTTATATACATTATAGTACATAAAAATCAAACATATTAAAAAAAAAGTGTTCTAACATAATTACCCATTTTTCTCCTCATATTCATCTTTTTTAGCCATAAAAGCCAATAAGGCTTCCCTTAATTCTTCTAAAAAACAAAATATTAAGAATTAATAAAAAAAAAAAAAAGGTTTGAAAATAAATTTTCAGTCGAAGCTTCAATGCATTTAGACTGAAGACAGGTCACAATGCATCTGACGTTTTGTATATCAAATAATAATTATCACTCATAAACAGATACTTTTAGTAACATGAGGAATCTTAAACTGTAGATAGCTAAACTTTAATCAGGGTAAATACCTAACTACTCATAGACTCAACTCATAGACCAAGAATTAAAAACATGCTTATTTATGTATAACAGATTAGCAAAGCTTAAAGAAAATACTTTTACATTTTTAATAAAATATGGTAGGGTTGGTATGATTTCAATCACGATTAAAATTATGATTTAAATCACTTTTTTTAAATAAAAAAAAACGTCAAGTCTAAAATACTTTTTAAACAATATTATTCATAAACTTATTATTTAGGTTGTGATTTTATGATCTGATTTCATTGATAATCACAGTTTTATCCAAAGACATTATGAAAGAGAGATGCATGCAAATTATTACACCTTAAAATAGACTAATAAATAAAAATAAAAAGTAAAAGCGGATAAGAGTGGCATAAAACTTTTAAACTACAATTTTCTATTAGCTGTAAGTAAAATAATTTACTGGTGATAAACATATACAAATTATGCCCCTTTAAGGACTGGAAGTCCAGAATATAAGGACTAAATTGACTCCAAATTTATGAACAATTTACCGTTGCTGATTCTCTATTGGGAGTAATTTCTAGGATACGAAGAGGGATTTTAGATACACTAAAAAACTACACTCAGTAGCTTGATAGCCCATAGAGGGCCAAGGCCTACTGTGCCCATCTCAGTTTTCTTGACCTTGGGATCTGGGGTGCAGGAGTAGATGTTTTGGTTAGGTGGTCAGCCTAACGTACTATAAAATTTCAGGAGACACGATGGCTATGGGGATAGAGCATTCACCTTCCATTGAGGCGAACCGGGTTCAAATCCCTGTCGATAAGAATTCCGCATCCGACTTGCACCAACCGCAGTGCTGATGTGAATTATCCTCAGTGGTAGACGGATCATGGGTTAGAGTTCCCTTGCCGTCAGGGTAACCGTGGGAGGTTCTCATGGTCTTCCTCTCCATGTAATGCAATGCGGGTTAGTTCTATCAAAAAGTCCTCCACGAAGGCAAAGTTTTCCCCAATACTTGATACAAGAGTATACCAATAATTAAGAACTTGTTCAGCCCACAGAAACTGAGAATATATTTTTTTTCATTTAAGTATTCTGATCTTGGCTATCCAATTGAAAAAATGCTCCCCTATTCTTACAAATTTATAGAAATGTTCAATATAAAACAAACAGTTATCAAGCATTAGTAATTGAGCTAATATAACCATAATTTTATTTACTCTGAGTATAGTTGGTAATAAAAAAATAATATTAAACATTTTAGCTAGAAATATCAACTCGAACAATTATTGTTTTTAAATTATTGCTATTATTACATTTTATCAGATAATTTGACTGGTAAATGTAAAAAAAATCATGATTTTTTTGTGTGGTCAATCCTGAAATACAGGTAAGAGATAAAATGAAAAATTTACATTCTTTGGGGATATTATAGTCAGATTTTTCAACAAAAAAAGCACCTTTTAAGCCCTAAAAAGATAGTTTTAATAACAATTAAAAAAAAAACCATAATTAGGATCTGTGCAGTAATAAAAATTATTTTTTTCAATCATTTAAAGTTCTTCATTTATGAACATAAAATCATTAAAATTCTAAAACATTTTCACAAATTTCACATAATCATGATAAAATAACTAGTTTCTGCAGAGAAAATTGTGATAATCGTGCATCTTTTGTAATTTCGAACGACAATCGATACGACAAAAAAAAAATATCCTTTTAAAAGATAATAAATTAACCACTTTTTACAAACCCTGAAAAAAAGCCCCTTTAAGGGCTTTTAAAAAACATAAATCAAAGTAACCTTTAAGGGCTTTTAAAAAACGCTATGCTCCCTATTACAGCAATATCCTGATTTCATAAAACTAGCAGGAGCGAAGAAAGCTTATTGAAGAATGTTTATTCAACTAGGTCAAAAGTAAAAATTATTTTTAAAATTTACTCAAAGTGGTTTAATTTAATTTGATGTCACAATTTAATTAGGTGTTTACATAAATGACATTACACTCAAGGTAAGATGATCACATACACAACAGACATGATAAGACAAATACTGGGATAACAATCTTCAGATGATCAACTAAAAATGCATCTTATAGAAACACAGATTGCTTTTTTTTATTTTATATTCTTAAACATTGAATAAATAAATGTTCAAAAAAGTCATTGGCACGTTAATGGGATACCTGCAAGTGACGTAGTGTGGGTATCTCGATCCTGATTGGTTGTTGAAACATGGTATTTATTTACGTTAACAGCTATTCTTTCCACTCTATTTAGAGTAAGTCCAGCCCATCAAGTATCGATTCTCTTAAGAGACGTATTCTAAATTCTTTCACTATATATTTTCACAGAGACTTAATACAAAGACAGGCATGAGCCATGAGGAACATAAACTAATTATGCATGGAAGTCACCAGGTACACATAACATAATTATATCAAGGTTACAATATAATACAGAAACAAATAATAAATTAAAGTTAAGTAAAAGATGTAGACGAGAAAGAATTATAATTTAAAAAATTTGATGTGTGATACAGCGAATTTAATCGTTAATTAATATTCGAACTTATTTAGAGAAACTTAGCCCAACTTTAATTCTTCATTTTGCTGATAAAGATTAGCTGGCGCTGACATCATAGGTCACATGTGCGGGTATAGCAGGTCTTCTTGGATTGCAAGTACTTAATTATGTTTTAACCCCTCCCTTCTCGCTCTCGTGAAATTTTCGGGCTGGAGTGTTCAGTAATAACGCGCCAATAAGAATAAAACTAATTAATTTCTTTTGCCCAGATAACATTTTATTTCTCATTTTACTCACCGGATGGCAGTATCAGGATATTTTTAAGGTAATTGCAATAGTTTATTTTAAACTAGATGTCAGCACTAATCAAATACGTGTATTTGGCAAAATGGGCACTTTTACGATCGCTTTCTTGAAAATTAAACAGGGGTCTGTTTAGAAGAAATTTGGGTCCGTTAACGGACCCTTCACAAAATATCTTTTCGTAAAACCGGACCCTTCACATAATATTTTAACTTAAAAACGGACCCTTCACAAAATGATTTTTCTTTTAATCGGACCCTTCACAAATTTGTTTATCTTCATTATTATTTTGTTAATCGAATAAACCCTTTCCCAGGGCAGAAAACAAGAGAGATGGATGTAAACGAATTAAGTTTTGTCTTCGGCAGACGATTCTTCCATTATTCGTCCGAAATTAATATTCTGGTTTCAGCAGTATAGGCTAAATACCAAATATTTGTATGTTGCATCTCTAATTTAGAAGCAGCAATTGTTGTTTATTTTTTAAAATTTAATTTTTTTAATTATAATTTTACAGTGTTGAGCATAATCTTGTATGTCTTTACAATTTAAAAACTCCTTGAAAAA